AGTATTTATGATATTGTTTAGAAAATCACGGTAAAAATATTTTTTACATCTGTTACGCTAACTTATATAATTTTATGAAATTTTGAGAAATGAAAATGTTAACGTTTTCAATTTTACGTCAGTTAAAATCAGGACTCCTTGGAGAATTTAAATCATCAATTTGTTTGTGTCAAACAGAAACACCATTTACTAAAAGTCTGCTCTAAATCGTAAAATAAAAATATGCAATAACATTATAACATTATTTAATTAGAAAAGCGATTCATTTCTTTTATAAATAGGATATATTCAGGATACTATTGTCTTAAGAAAAAAAATTCGATGAATAATGATTTTTACAAGAATTGTTTTTATTTGTTCATTTTAATTCGAAAAATGAATCTTTTAAAATTGTATATTAAGTTCATCCCTTTTAGTTGACACTATTATTAAGTGAAAAGTATATTTATTAATCATAAATGGAAGAGCTTAACATAAATCATCAAACACTAATATTTTTTTTAAGTATTTTGAATTTTTTTGCAAGTGTATAAACGTAATGTTTTTGTAAGTACGGTCGACCATACACGACATTATCAGAAAATAAGAGAAATAAATACAGTAAATATAAAGCCAACATTCCATAAAAAATTAGATTACGAAGAATATTTTCCTAAATTTTAAAGATTACTGAATACTTAAAAATTATATAAAAAGGCGTTCGCGTCATTTTTTAAAGTGATGTTTCACATAGAAAGTCTCCGTAGAACGACATTAGAATTGTTATAAGGCTGTCAAAACGTCAAAGCATCTATTGTCGAGTTAGAAAATTGCATATTTGCTATATTTTAAACTTAATATAAATAATATTTGTTTCAAATAAGATTAATTATACTTCACATAATATTCCTCAAAATATACGAGTTTTAGAAAAGTATATTTTATTGTTGTAAGTTTTTTTTTAATAAAGAAGATTAGACTCCGATGAGAGACGACAAAGGGCACTAATCAGCTATTTTACAAAAAATAATTCCGTCACTTTAAAAGAGTTTTTGCTTATTAGAAATATTAAATGTAATCTATTAGCTTGAAATTCAAACTAAAATAAAAGTTTTAAGAAAGATTTTTCACTTTTAAAAATGCATTTTAAACCTTAGTTTACACGTTTTTTTTAGTGGTCCCTAATATATAGAATAAATTCAAATAATATTTTCACAGCACCGCGTTCTGGAGTTTCGTAATTCCTCTGTCCATTCATCAGGAGGTATCAGTAATATATATATATATATATATATATATATATATATATATATATATATATATATATATATATATATATATATATACTCAGTTCTCATCCAGATCAAGGCTAGATGAATAAGAAATGTAGGAGAATTGTGTTGCAATACAATCTTTCTCGGCTGTCAAACCTGCTTGGCATGAAAATCAGTATTTTAGCCATTTATCTTTACCTAGATATGAACTCAGAGCATTATCGCTAATGGAAAATGGCACCAATTGGGTTATGTATGCTTGTACGCACACTAAAATGAACAAAGGAAAATATTAAAGAACAAAAGTAACTAGTGATATTGCCTCAGATACACTAAAAACCATGTTGTGTGATCAATGGCAGGCATGGAAGTTTCATGTTAAATACATTTTAAAGCCGAAAATTCTCTGTTTATCTACTCAAGTAAAAAAGGAAACGACATTGTGTCGTTCATCCGAAACTATTGTCCTTCAAATGCTGACCCTGTCGGATCGTACGTGGCACCCTACATCCTACATTCGTGTCACTGAATAGCCAAACTTTTGGTGACTAACCACGCTGTCTGATCCAATAAGGATTTTCAATAAGT